TGTTTATTTATACGTTCCCAATCCCAGTAATTCCACATACATTAGCCATCATAGGCTTCCTGTGTATTTGACTTTAAAACAGAATGATTTATAAATTTTTTCGATACACGGCTGCTATTTTTCTATCGCTGCCAACAAAAAATGTGGTTCTCAATACAAGATGCTTCTGGTGAAAGCAATCTTAATTTCTAGAGTGTTTCTTAAAAAACAATCGCCATTGCCTGCGCCCATGTACCAATTCTTTTGTACAACACCGCCACTGATTGAGCCAGACATCTGAATTTAAAACAATACGTGGTATCGGAACAGCTCACAATCGTTTATCTCCGTATCGATTATTGATTGATTATTTGTTTATCCGCGCCCGATCATAAATTAAATCAACGAAAATTTTGTATGAATGTGTGACAAGTACATATTGCTAGTGTGTTTTTTATGATTTACTTCTTCGCGATCAATGCATGAATGCTGGATACACTCACATGACCTCTCGCTCACAAAATGTTCACACCATTAATCACGCGGAATAGAAATGACATACAAGGTCTGTATAATCAGATGCAGCTCTTTTTGTAAGCCTGATATGAGTTTTGCAATGAAAGCAGATTGAAACCAACCTATTAATACACACTTTATAGAAAATGTCTCTCATACCTAAACCAAAACCAAATTACCTACTTATTCGTTCATCTGAATTTCTTTTTGTTTATTTGAATCTTACCGAAAATAGGTGAAACAAATTGTCAGCTTGCTACAACCTACACGCAAAAAATTGTGGGCTACGTGGTAAGAAAAAGATGATAGGACTTCCACTGCTTTAATTTTTTATTAAATCTTTTTTAGTTTGTTCAGCTTTTTCTTTTTTTTGGCTGTGCTGCCAGAAGAAGCATTGTGGACGAGAAATTTTTCGAATTCGTGTTTTACTTTTGACTTAAAATGTGGCACTAATAAAACTTTAAAGCTGGGAGGAAGCTTATCATAGAGATAGGGTGCAACAAAAGATAAACTCCTTAGTAAATCGAGTGGTTCTATGATGTTGACTTCTCAAAGACAATTTATTATTTAAATATGTGGGGTATTTGGTCAATAAAATGCTGTGAACCAAGCACAAAGTGTATAACCATCCTGTATCTTCTGAACTCTATGAGCTTCGGCTTGAGTCAAATAAGGACCAAACACGGAACTCCCATACTGTATCTTATTTGAAATTAAATCGCAAAGCTTTGGACAACCTTAGAAACATGAGTCAAGTGCTCATCAAAAATTATTCCCAAGTTTATCACCGATGTTTTGTGTGCGGGCTCTTCATTATTGAGACATAGCTTTATAGCATCTCCACTGAACGGTTCTACTTAGAGCGTAAGGTAATTATGGCTGATTTACAGTTAACGTGTAACCCGTGCTCTCTAAACCAACCGCAAACGCGGCTTAGATCTAGTTTTTCATTAGCTTCAACATAGGAGGGACCGTAAGTTCTATAAAGCTGCGTATCATCGGCAGATACCACCCCAACCATGTACTTTTTTTTACTGCTAGATATATTCATCGGAATTTGTTCAAAACCACTATTCACCTCTGCATGCGAGATCTACACCATTGATCATCATAAGCCACCTCTGACGTATAAAGCAATATCGCCTATCGAGTCTATCACGCCTAAAAAGCTATAAAAGAAGAATCGAGTCAGTCAAGAAATTAGCTTATACTTCCTACACATATGACAACATTGCGATCTAGCCTACTGCCCCACCGACTGTCCCGACTATCTGGCAACGTGGTGACTCTGCCAGCATCACCACTTGCGGCACTCGCCAAAAAGTTAAAATATACTCTGACCACCACCTACAACCCCCAACCTGCAATTTTTTCTTGAGGATTTATCAGGCGCCCCTGAAAGCTCAAGTTTGAGCGGTTTTTATCCTTTTCCGTTTTTTATCTCCAGCTCCGCCGCCGCTGGACCCATTTTCACAAACAACAAAGCTTTTTGGTGTTTTGTTTGGCTTAGCAGTAATTTTACGTGAAAATTTCATCACAGTCCGAGCAGTACTTTCCAAGTTATAGACAGACCAAGGATTAGCGGACAAACCGACAGACAGAAATGGGTGATATCATTTTTCGTAATGCATATAATATAAAAATTAAAAAATATATTATCTCATTCTAGAAATTTTTCGCAGTTACAATACTTCCTCGTCAGTGAGGTAGAAAGTAAAAGCATACTGTCCGCTATAGTCGATCTACCTAATCATCCGATGTTTGTAAGTTTGTTGCCAAATCTTTGAAAATCGACACCTTGGCAAAAAGTTATTAACCTAATATAAATATAAAAAAAATATCAAGAAAACCTCAAATTTCTTTTTTGTAAAGTTTTTCGAGTTCCACTCCATTATTGGACTCAAGAAAGCACCTCCTTTAGAAACGTTTTTCATCAGGGCGTAGCGAAATACCTCTCAGAAACCCAAGTGGCTTTAGTCACAATTAATAATGATGCGCATGCGGTTTAAAATTGAGGAAATACAGAGTCAATATACTCAAACCAACAATATCCATTTGCAAAATATCTGTGTCAGGTCACAATTATTCAAAGCAGTCAATATCTGGAATGGAACGAAAAACTGAGTTTGAAATGAAAAAACAATAACTTGATAGTACTAGGTCAAATTTTTCGGATCGCTTTCTCTGATCGTAGATACAGCTAATTAAGGAGACATCCAAAAAAGAAACAATGCATTTATCTTTTCAACGAATCGTATCCTGATTTGAATTGTACCTTATCTGATGTGATAATTGGACTGGTATGCTTAATATTCCTTGCATTGTATTCTTTACCCTAGCTGTCCTCAATCAGTGTTTGGATGCCGTATTGAAACGGTATCCGCCTTTCAATAAGCCATCAATTGTTTGCATTCTTGTCTGTTTTTTTTTGTTACTTTAGTTAAGTGGATTTTTCTTTCTAATCTGATCACTGGAAATGGTAAAACGAAATTCATAAATAAACACCCAGTTTTATTAATAGTAAATAACAATTTATATTTGATTCGATAACATTGTAGTCACTGTAGTCGGCAATTGACGATTCGTAAGCATAGGTGCATATAAAAGTTGATCGAAAAAAATCTACTGGGTGAGTACAGGTGATAACGTTTCGATATCTGAACTTACATTTGTCGATTATACCCACCCATTTGCGATAGGATGAACAACATACTGCAACGCACACAATTCATTACGAAAATGTCAACTGTAAGTAGCCGTAGAAGAAACTTCATCGCGATTTCTAATTACTGCGTGATAATCGATAAGTACTCAAAACTCCATTGAACACAATCCGAATTATAAACTTTATCTATTTGAACATTTTGCTGCCAACTGCTTCGAAAAAAGAACAATATTATACAGATAATATATTGAATAGTGTAGATAACTATAGAAGGAAAGTGAGAAATTTCGGGTATTCTATAATAGATCCGTAAGAACACATGTGAAAAGTTAAAGGTGAAATGTACCAAATGCACACTTATCAAAAATCATATATAACATTCACATTCTAAAATGACTGGTATAGTATAGATATAGTAAAAGCAATTATTTTTACAGATAACCCAAATCACAAACACTCCACTACGAAATGCACATCTTAGATCTTCTGCCGTTCCAACTTTCACGTTCAAATCGTTAGCGACAAAATTACAAATGTAGTCACACGTATGCAACATATATGAGGTAAAATTATTAACTTTCACCTTACCCGTTACAAAGAACGTGGACACAGTGGCCGCTGTTCTCCATACCTATTTATTTTGCATCTAGCTTCAAATTCTATAGTGGCTGACAATCTGTCTCTAATACTTAAAATATATTATCTTCCACAAGTTATAACTTCAGTAACTGTTCATATTCATGATATACCTTTTAGCGTGCAGATACATCAAACCGTGCAAAAAATAACAGGCATTTAACGTATTTGGGAACAACAAGTAAGATCTGTATTATAATAATCATGACATGAGTTCATTGGAAAGTTAAATTCGCAGTAAACTGGATAGGCGCATGAGTGGTGGGACCGTCAATCACCGCCCGTGATGTGCAGAGATTGAACACCACTGAGTCAATGTTATGCATCGACAAAATTTCCTTGGTGCATACGTCCGCCCTTCTACGGACTCAGCTTTTGGATCTGGCGGCAATTCTAAAATTGGCGATAAAGCATCCGAGCTCTTCATTACCGACCAACAAGGTACATCAACCTGCCAGCCGCCGATACCTCTGCTCTTTGCCCTTCAATATCAAGGCTTAGCTGTCAGAACACATTTCATGCGCTAGCCCCACCGAGACGAAATGCCAATAGATTCTGGACTCTCCTGACATAAACCGGACTCGCTTGCTATGAAGGAATGATGAGCTTGATGATTTTATACGTTCACGCAAATCAGCAATCAGCAACTAACCTAATAAGATATCACAGGACATACTTTATTTTTACTATAGTTTTCCCCAATCGTGACGTGGAGCTAACTCAAAATTAAAATTTCGTTAAGTAGATAGGTACTCACATTCAATGACCTGTTCTGGGAGTTTGTGTCACAGATGCTTGTCTTATGATGAGAGCTCTCATTAGGTAGCTTTCTCCGTTTGTCCTAGGCTCTTCAACGTCTCTAACATGCTATACTGACACCAATTTCCTCCCTTTTTGCATGGTTTAGGGTTGGAAGTGTGCATGTTTTATAGTTTCAAATAACCTACGTATTATCACGTTAAGGAAGATATAAGCAAATTCTTATCAAAACATGCAGTTGCGATGCATTCATAAGTCCCGAGTCCAGAATAATTATAGTCACTAGGCGGCAATATCAGAGCTGAAGCACCTGGATCAGTTTCGTATGGCTCGTGAGGCTACTATCTTCCAATCGAAAAATGATTTACATTCAATGAAGTAAATGAAACAAGTGCATGCAAGTTTGAAGTTAACTCACCAACGAATGTTTTGTCTAACGTTTCAGGTGTCATCGAAGAGATCAACCTGGGAGCCACATCCGGACCCGTCCCGACTCCGGGCGGGTTTTCTCCGGTCATCTCAGCCGCGAAGACGCTTTCGCTCAGGGAGACCTCCTGTGCAGAGGCCTTCTGGAAGATGCCGCACAAAGGTAAATAGTACTTCACTACCAAACTGCATTTCTTCCCATAGACTTGCTGTAACTGTAACAAAAAAGTTGTATGTAGAAAATCGTTAGTCCTTCTTGCTGCGCGACTTTACACAACCAATTTCAACACATGTTAATTATTTCGGAGACTGAAACCAAGGATAAAGTGATGCCTTTTCCTAGGAAGCGATATAGGGAGCGGATTTTAATATGATGATATATTTCTGAGAAGCGACAACATGAAGCTATGAGAAACGTACGATCACTAAAATATGCGCTCAAAACATGCTGTTCAAGTTCTTGTGAAGACTTCTAATCATCGGTAGACATTTTCCAGCAAGCGTTGAACTAATTCTCATAGAATTTTAGAGGTGTAATGCTGTGGGAAATGTTTTTAAGCGCTGGTGATTTTTGAGCAGGCTAATAATCAACAAACTAAAATGTTTGGCACCTAACTTAATTATTGCATGATTTTAAGATGAAGGAAGCTGTGAAACTGGAAAGTACTTTCATATGTCTACATTTCTTTAGCTTTTTATCATTTAGGATGACCCAAAAATATTGTGGATAACTATTCTAATGCGGCTTTAAGTCGATAATTTTGAAAAAATCTAATTTCGTTTATGTAGGATTCTTAAGTTTCATTTCACGGGGTATCCAAAAAATTTATATTTTGTGTTTTGTGAAATCTCTTCTAACATGTCATTGTTTCGAATTTATAGTCATAAAACAAAAGAGCAGTCATAGTTGTATGGTCATTTTATTTGAGAATGTTCACACTGTGTGGAAAGTACCAGGACATCGTATTTGATCTTATTTTCCATGGTAAGAAGTGAATGAAGTATTGGGCACACCAAAAATTTGAAATCAAAGCATTGCACCGCTCATTTAACTATTCCAATTTAACAAGTATCCTAGGACTCCCAAGCTGTCAATCTAATGGGATAAATAAATAAAATTAAACAAATATTATCAGTCAATAAACAGACTCTCTATCCAGTAATAGCAAATAATAGTAGGTGATGTAACGGTTTTGCTGTCCAACGTATTTATTTCTTTATTACCTCTTCTAATTTCTAACCGTGATGACTAAACTACGACTTCCGTGTCATGTGGTGAGTCATGGCCTGCTCGACTGTCTCTGACTGTTCTCGTCATCTGGTCGGGTATTTATCATCAGAGGGACATTTCAGCGTCTTCGGCGAAGTTCCATGGAAGTGGTCCAGAAGGCAGCAAGTGCTTCCAGGCCGGTCTCGATTTTTCACGGTCGCGTAACTGGTCGCCTAAGCGTCGTCTCTGCAAAGCCGTTCCATCGCCATTCAAGGTCCCAGTTACGAGGGCGTACAGTAATATTTAAAAATGGATAAACAACGGTTTGATAGCAGTGACAATTCTGTGCCCAGCAAGCCAAGGAAGCTCTTCATAGTCGACATGAGTACACACATTACTTGTCTAATTTTTTCCATTGTCATTATTACCTAGGCGGAAAAGTGTAACTTCTGTAACTTTCCTAAAAGGTGCAAGCGAAATATTTGCGACTTCTCAGATTAGTAGAAAAAAGTCAATTAAGCTTCGAGGAACTATCAGTAGGTATCGGATGTTTCTACAAAATGTGGATAGGAGATGAAAACTGCGGTGTGAACGGAAAAGCTTTGTAAGATTTGAACATCAGCCCATCGTCTGTGCGGTTCTGATCGAAAAAGAATCTCAGCCCATCATACCAAAATTTTGTTTTTCCATGTTTTTCGGGTATCTGATAATACTCGGATATAACAAAAAAAAGAGAATGTAGGAAAGGACTGGCTTTTGAAAAATCTAAAATTACATTTGTTGGCCTTATCATAATGCTATAAAATCAGTAATCTTGAAAGCGTCTGATACTTTACATACCATTATCACTGCTTTGAGTTTTCGTGTCAATCTAGTGCATTTTTCTTACGAGAACTAAGCAATGTAGGACAAATCGTGAACTTGAAAGCTGTGCCCGGAGCAAACTATTTATTGCTGTGTGCCGTATGGTTCTCCGCTTAATGCGTCATATTATTCCAATTTGCTGCTACAATGCATACCAGATTAACTAAACGGATCAAATTATACATGGAAATGGAATGGTGCTGCAGTTCTGCTTTATCATACGGAAAAATGGCGGATGAGCGATATTGTTTCACATTTCTGCGAATTATACGCTTTAATTATTCTTGTGCCTAAGTGCAATAATTGTCGTTGACGATCACAAGTTACAATCAGTACCGATGTAATACAAAACTCCGAAAGGACATACTCGTAAGAGGAATGGTATCATCAGCACATCAACCTGAAGGCCTTTAGCTTGATGTAGACAACACGAATACATCAAAAGAATATTTACGAATATGAAAACCTTTTGAACTAATGTGCCACTGAAAAGTATATAAATTATCTGTTACGTGAGTGCATGCAGTCACTTAATTTAAGCGAGATTATTCTGTCTACTGACAGTACTTTTTGGCACTAGTTTAGAAGAATACCTATTCTTCTTAGGTTCAGTTGCTGTTAGAATAACATGTTTCTTATTAGAGGGTCATGAAGATTCAAATTAGGAAACCTGGAAGAAAATGCTGTTGGAAAAATGATCATTCATTTATTGCAACAAAAGGACACCAAGTGAGGGAAAAATAGCTCTAAAATCTCCTCTAGACTTACTTACTTATACATTCCTTTTTTATTCACTCTTTCTAGCTGCCTGACCAGGGTCAAAGATGGGTGCCTTCACATCGAACTCCATTACAAACAGCACTACAACCCTGGGTGGGTTTTGGCTTACTTTACAATCTGTCTTCATCTGCCGCGGTGTTCCATCGCGGCTGGATTATTCCAAAGTCCATGTTTGTCGTGTCTGACTTAATATTATCCCTTCCTCTCGTAAGGGGGCCACATAGAGGTCTTTTACCAGCTGGTGCTTCCTCCTAGATCAACCTTACAAACCGATCGATGTTTGTTCTTATGCGATACTCATGTTTGGGTCATGTAGAGGTCCAAAGATCTTGTGTAGCACTCCGCGTTCGAAATGCCATACATCGCAATGAGACTTTTCAGGACGGTATTATCCTGATCTTAGAAGACCACGTAGGTATCTGATTTAATAGAATTATTAAGAGAAAACGTGCAATGGTTCGCAGATTGGATTTTGAGTTTGATCTCGGCAGTGACGTCTAGTCGGCAGTGATCGTTGCTCTAAGGTACTTGTAACGCTCAACGGATTCATAGTTGTACGAGTTCATTGTTACATTTTGCCCTATTATGGCCCTCTTCCCTTTTATCTTCATTGATTCCTAACCCCAACTCTGGATGACAGTACTCTCTGCAGGGGTATCTTAAAATGTGCAAAACTCATAGGTTTTCCGATGCAGTGTGCTAATACGAGTTTTCTTAGTCCTACCATTACAAGGATATCCGCCTCTACATGTGTTTCAGTTTTCACTAAATCAATGCCTTGGGATAACCATCATCCGTTTGCAAAGGAGTTGCTCATCGGAGGCTCCTGTGAAGTGCGTGAGGGCGCCAGATCTCCATGTTCACGTTGAGCAGACGACGGGATTAAATCTGTTCTATTACGCGCTTGCCTGAGCACGCTGTACTTTGCTCTCAACTCAGGCGGTGCAACTCCAAACGCCGAATCCAGGGTGCGACGAAGAGACATAGTCCATGAGCTCACGCATTCAGCCACTTACTGATATTCTGCCATCCTTGGTCAAGTAACGAATTCCTGTATCGCAAATAGCAACAGTACTGCCAGGGTCTTTACTAGAGATTTGTTTTTTTTTCATTGTCACGAGATTAATTTTTCACTAGAAGTTTTCAATACTCATCAACATCATTGAGATATTAAAAGATTTATATACTGTTTGAGAATTAATGAAAAAATATTCTAGATTAGGTATTGCACAGGTCCAAATGAAGCAACCTTGCTTCTAGCTACTTTTTCATTTCGACTTCAAGAGAAAAATATTCGAAATTGGGAGTAAATATATAGTGAAAAGTAAATTACTTAGAATACCAGAGTTTCCCCACCGTCAGCCATATTGCCACTAATTCTCTTGGTAGTAATAAAAACAAACTCCATGATCAAAATTGGATATTTTGTAAAGAAAGAATATCTGTCAATTCCCTTATCATTATTCCTAAGATTTCGTAATCACAGAATTTCTCTCCAGAAGGAGAAGGAATATTTGCTCCAACAGTCAGGGCGGTGTCAATACTGAAACCTAAAGGCGGTGGCCGACAGCAGGGTTGGATCCAGGGAGATGTTCTGGGCGTCACGGCTCCCGTCCGAAATATTCGAGCTTTTTTTTACAATTTGTAGGAAACCTTCCCCCGCTCTTCAATTATTTTGATTGGCCAATACCCCTCCCCCTCCGCCGACCAGGTAATTTCAAATTCATCATATATGGACACTCCCAAAAGTATTTTCTAAATCCGCCTCTGAAGAACGGCTATCAATTTAATATAAACCAATACTTTACTTTTCCTTCTGTCATAATCCTGATCGATCGAGATCAGCCCCCGATGACTTTCTGTGCACTTGCTTCTTTTTCCCACACCGAAACAATGAGCGCTCGTGCTGCCAGCGTGCTACCAATAAAAAAGTCATCGTCCGCTGTTCGTTTGTTCTTTTGAGGAGCTGCTTGCTGCGCCTCCAATGCATAATAATCCGCCCTATCACCAGCGGCGACTCTAGGTAGGGGAGGCAACACCATTTTTATACAGAATCAGCCGCATCGGGCGAAGACTAAATACCGAGCCGTCACAACTGCTGGAGGATATCAGATTGCAATTCCTTAAAACCGTTTTACAGTTCGCAAGACCTTCCATGCAAACTCTTGCAGCTGACACACGTCATTGTCTGCAAGACAATTGCATCCAACCACTTGCAGTTGCAAGACGGCCCTGTTTCCTCGATTCAAACGAGCAAGGTTATCCATACTAAACGGATGAAATATTCCTTGTCATATTCCTAACCTACA